TTAAGTCTATTTAAAGAGTAGTAGCAAATACTTAGGGTCAATGTAAAAACATTGTTTTTCTTTACGAATATCTGTGGCTTATTAGCTTAGTAGTGCTAATGATGAGGTCAGGGCATTAAGGTCAAACCCCACATGTGTCAATTAGTTTCAAAGAGAAAAGCTTAGCCAATGACTGTGCCCCTAACTTTGACCAGCTGTCATACAAATGCATGGCTGGCAGTCTAAGAGGTACCAAACCAAGAATGCCAAAGGCACAGCTTAAATCCAGCTCCATTCTGGTGGGTCACTGTATCTATGCCCCAAATTGTACAGTCTCTTCTTTAATTGGAAAGGCAGTATCAATAGGTTGGGAAAAGGCCTTAAATAATAATTTGTCTAATTTAATAAAGGGCAGCTAAAATCGGACCTCACTTGTCCCCATCATATCCAGAGAGTGAGAAAATGTAAATGAAAACTGTCAGTTGGTCCTTCCTAGCAAAGAAAAATGGCAATCTGTTCTCACGAGGTGTATGCCCTTTTGGGTAGATTACCTGTGTGGCTTTCATCATAACTGAGCTTCTAGTCCATCTCTGAGGGTTTGAAACCCAATTAAAAAAAAAAAGAAATTGGTTCCTCTTTCTTTAAGTAGGTATAATTTCCTGTCTTTGAGGACAAACAGAATCAACCTAAAGAAGATAAAGGAGGTTAAATGTTCTTTGGTCACTACTTAAATCCTAGGTTCTCCTTTCTTGAATAGCACCAAATCTTTGCTAATTACAACCTAGACTAGGAGTCTGTTAAAGTTAGAAGAGGTCATTCACCTTAACAAAATCTCCTTGTTTTATAGACAAGGACATTTCAGCCCAGGAAGTTTAAATGTTTGCCACAGCCATAGAGCTAATGAATGACAGGTCTGGGAGCAGTTTTCTGAGCACTCCACTTCAAATGAAAGAAGCTTGAGTTAATAATAATAACCTAGATCTAAGGAGGTTGTTTCAATCAATAACAATGAAATTCATGGCAAAGTTTCACTTACACTCTACAAACAGTATGTTTTAACACATGAAGAATGCCATTTGTTCTTAATAACTATGCATTGGAAGTATGTTTTATAAAAGCTATAAATCTGGAACAGCCGAAAGGGTATCCAACTTTCTTCTCTAATTGATTTACTTCCCCTTTTTTCCCAGACTCCTGAGGTAAAGCATACACAGTTTATTTAAGGGATTGTTTATAGACTCTTAAAACTAAAAAGGACCCCAGAATTCGCTTTCTTTTGGTTACTTTTAATTGAAACCATCCAAGATGGTTGGTTGTCCATCAATTTTTAAAGTATCTCCAAGGAGAGAAATTCCACAAACCCTGTTAAAGTGCATGTTAAAATGGTTAATGGCTCTCAAAAATTATATCTATAGTACGCTTAATGTCTCTTATTTCACTCAAAGCTCTTTTCCTCTTGCAGTTTCACACAAAACGAGGTTATAACAAGCCACCCTCTGTGAGAGCTCCATCAGTCTGGTGAGATAATAGCTAGCTCTTTCCCAGTGTACCACCTCCATTAAGCCACCATTTTTCTCACAGGGCTGTGAGCACACAAGACTGGTTGATACGCTCTCTTACTGCGACGCACAGGGAAGAATCAGTAATTAGCTCTTCATTGGAAGTTTCATTTCTGAAAATGTCTGGGGAAGCTGCATTAATTATAGAGGAAGTGTTTCACTTATGCTGGGAAGATGTTCACAAAAAAAGATAATCTAGACGGTTGCTTTGCCCTGTGCTGTAGTGGAACTTGGGCTTGTGGAGAAATATGAGCTCATTCACAACACTGGGTTGATCTATACAAAATAAGTATGACAGAAAATTTTATTCAGTTGTGTTCCTCATAAGGTTTTAAAAAATCTTTCCTTGTTAAACATTCCGGCCCAACAAAAGAGATAGATATGGAGACAATTTTCTTTCCATGTTTGAATCTCAAAGTAAGATCGAAATTGCTTTCCACTATTAAAAAACAACAACAACCATACTTTCAAAATGGGATTTCAAGCAGCTTAAAGCAAAAGGCATGGCCACAATAAAATTTTGAAAATATGGGTAAAAATTTAGGAAGAGGGGATATTGACAGGGTGGAGGTGGAGAAGACTGGTTTGCTTTAATAAGTATTTCAAAGACTGTAAATACTTGGAGCTGACTTCTCCACACACAGTAAATCTCCTGGGACAAAAAGGAAACTCAATAAAATTTGTTGACAACAGTTGATGCCTGTAAGAATAATTGGCTCAGACACAAAACAGACCATCAGTGTAGTTTGGGGGATGACTAGAATGCAGTCTCTAAGTTTGTTAGTATATATTGTTTTCATTTTAAAAAGTCTTATCAAATAGCTGAGTAAATATGAGGTGAGAGGAATTGTCCAAAGTACTTGACAAACCCAATTCTAGATGGTGTTGGAGACCAAGAACCCAAACATGTAGTTCCATTTCATTCAAGTGGATTCAATTCAATGCAATCCTATTAGTCCATCAAATAGGAGCCACTACTTATAGGAGCCAGGCATTGAACTAAGTTCTAGGTTTTAATGGTGAATCAGTATAGCACTTGGCATCAAGGAGCCCGTTTAGAGGGCAAACCCTGGTTAGGTGATTTCAAATATGGGGCAAAATATTCAGGAAAAAGCATAGATGACTATAATCTAATCTCCCATGATTATTTTTCTCTTATGACACCTGATAATACTTCTGTGCTTTTTCTAAACCTCTCAGTTAGCAACTAGTCTATGAATTCCTTGAAGGCAAAGTCTGTCTTGCTCATTCTTTTCTAAGCATTTAGTCAATGCCTAGTACAGTGTCTTACATACAGCAGATTTTCCATCAGTGTTTTGAGTTAAAGGAGTCAAAGGGGTTAACTTCTTCTTTTCAGCAAACAAGATTGTCCAGTTGACTAGAAGGCTAATGAGATACTTCTGTGCATAAGGGTCTACATCAGGGAAAGGATTTACGTAAGTCATGGAATTGTTTACTACAACACTTATGGAACATAGACTCTCAATGACAATATTGACAGTAATACACAATTTATAAAACCCCTTCCTTCCTCTCCAAGTCATACTCTAAACATCAAGAGTTGCTCTTTTCAATGTAAAAGCATTTGCTTAAATTGGATCATTGTAGAAACAGAATTAAAGAATCCTTTCAGTGCCTTGAAGTTGGTCTCCATCATAGTTGTCCAATATTCTTGTGTCTGTGTGAACATACATAGGTATCACATCGTTACTTGGGATCAAATCATTCTTTCTGTTCTCACTTTTCACAATCAAATGCACACATTGTAAGCATGGAAGGATCCAGTTTCCATGCACTGTGCATGGACATCCTGGAGCATATCACATCGAACAAGATAACTCAGCCTGGCATGTAACAGAAGACACTTGTGGGCTCTGCAATCACCTAGTGAACTGGATCAAAGGAAACTGCACAGATGGATTATCAAGGCACAAAGAAATCCTCTTGGGCATAATAAGTGAGGACTACTTGTTCATTTTTCAGTGTGGATCAGCACCAGCACAGTCGAGATTAATGATAGCTCACTGTTGAGTGATGTTGATGTGACATATTTGCCTTCTGTGAAACAAGTCTGCTGTTTGGAAAGAACCCACCTGATGAACTGAGTCATCTGCGCTGCAACCAAGAACTGGATAGGATCACTTTATTGCCAGAGAAATAGATGAATTTGCTCAATTAAAATATTGGCTGGAAACAGAGTGAGAATTTGCCCATTCAAACAGCAGAAAGCATGTGTCATTCTCTGTCCCTAGCTGTTTAAATGCTATTTGTTGCCAAATCTATGATGTGTACACACAATCAATACTCCTTTTAGCCTCTTCCTTCCCATCCCTTCACCCATCCCAGACCATTACATGGATCCTTATCCCCGTGTCCCCCTCTACCCCCCACCCCAGCCCCGCCACCCACCACCTTCCCTGGGAAGAAGATGAGAAAGACTTGAAATGTATGAGTCATCCCAGGAGCTATTGAAAACTTAGTGGGTAACTGAGGTAAGCTGTCTACACTTGAGCGATATAAATCTTCAAGAATGATTCATGTTCGCTGAGGACATGAGCATCAGTATCCTGGAACTCTCCAAAATTCCAAAGAATTCCATAGAATGAGCATCTGGCTTTAAATTTCACTGTGCTGTAATGCACAATGAGAAAGATGCTTCCGAGGTAGATCCTAGTTTAAGTGATGAGGTCCCTCAGGCAGCACTGACTTTCGTTTGTGTTTATTATTTGCAAGCCTTGACTTGGCCGGCTACCTTTTATTGAGTGTCAACTTTTTAATCATGAGACCTCCTTGTGGGATAAGTAACCCCACACTTGTCAGAAGCCCTTCTCCAGATGGAGATATCACAGGAGAGCCTCAGAAAAGACTGACGTCAAAGGAAAGCAATAACAAAAACCAAGGTCAGTTTGCATAGAGGGCAAATTAACCTAGCATTGCTGTTTGCATTTAAGAGGGGGTCTGTGTATTTGCAAACGTGCCTTTGAGGGAACTCACCTTCTGTCTGTTCCTGGATATTTTGTATAGCGTGGAGACATCTGGGATGTGCCCCCTTAATTCTTTTTCCAAGTCCCCCTTGCTATTTTACTCCAAATGGCCTAGCACTTCAAACAGATCTACATGTTTCCATATGTTTGTATGTGCACACAGGGGTCTCAAGAACAAAACCCCAATCCTTCAGGGTCACTTTGTCCCCCTTCTTTTACTGAGGGAAGGGGGTACTGAGGGTAGAGCACAACAGTTGCCGGAGAGCTCATCAGGAATTCGTTAAAAGACAAACTGCAAAGGAGGAAAATTCCATCTGAAATCTCCAAAACCTGCCCCGGACCCACTGAAACACTAGGCTTCCTTTAAGGTGAGGAGTCCCAGGCTGAGGACGGCTGCCAGCCACGGGCAGTCATCCAGTTATTCACACACTCCCTGTGGTTGTAAATCCACAGAGCTGTGAGAGGGAGGGCTACTTACTGAAATAAAAGCCCCTGTCTCCACACACGAACTGAAGAGCGTCCACCAGCTCAGCCCCGCAGAGGGTCTCCGGTCCAGCCGTGGCGGAGCTGGTGAAGGTGAGCAAGCACAGGGCCAGGTAGAAGAGATGAGAGGAGGACATGATGTGCACCTTGACCTGCCGAGGAAACAGAAGAGGGTCACGTTTCCTCCTCTGTCCTTGCAAGCGGGGTGAGGGTGCTTTGACTCCCAACATCCCATCACTGTTAAGAGTCAGGACCACCCTGCGCAGAAGTGCAGTAGCGTGCCAGAGAGGCCACAGGGAGGCCTGGACTGAGCACATCTTGGCGTCAGGTGACAGGTGTTTAATCCCCTTGCTACAGTAGAACCTTGGAGAAGTCCTCCCTGCACCCCTCCTTTAGGGGTTCCTACCTTTCAAATGATCAAAGATGAAATTGTACTCAGGCCAGATTTGGTGTCAAATATGTTTTATTAATTTAAATTCTCTAAAGATTGGCCATCCACAGATGGCATATGCATCCATCATTGACCAGAATATTAAATTAGCCAGACATCCTTCCCTAGCTACTGATTAAAGAAAATTTACTGTGGCTGAAAAAGGACTCATTGAAATACTATATACTGTTATAGAATTTTTCTCTTTTTCACTTAACAAGAAAGAAAGACAGAGAGACAGATATTTCTTACCTGGGGGATATCAGAAGTTAGCACAATCACAAGTGGAAGAAAAAAAAACAGAAACAGGAAAAACATGACGATTTAGGCATGAAATTGGCTCATGCTAAGCAGACCCCACTCTTTCTGTGTTCTATAGTTCTTTGTGTCAAGCTCAATATCAAATCAACACCTGTGTAGAGCACCTTCCACGAACAGGGCATGGGGCTCGAAACCTACAAAAGCTTTTTTTTTTTTTTGAGTCACAGGAATTCTGACTTCATCTCTTGGAGGGACCTATGTGACACTGTATCCATTTTAGAGCGAAGTATACCCAGGGACCCCTGCTTGGCTTGCCTCAGCCAGTGAGAGCCTGCCAAGTGGCAGCCCTGCCAGAGGCAGAATTCCTGTGGCTCACATCTCCATCCTCACTCGAAGCAGGAGAAACAAGGCTAAGGTGATCATTAAGTTTTTCCATATTGCTACTCGTGCCACAGAGATGTGGTTTCTTCCAGGAAGGCTCCTAATGTGAGCAGCTTCCCCTTTCTTAGATGCATCGCCTTTCAGCAGCCTTGGAAGAGCCACTCCGAAGGGGTGATGTGAGGGACCCTACCAAAGGGTCGTGGAGTCAGGCTGGCAGCTCCCATGATCAAAAGAGCCCTGTTTTGAACCTCCCAGTAGTGGCAGGTTCCATTCAGCCCCATCGCTTTTGGAGAATCAGATTCATTCAGTCATTCATTTCCTGCCACTCTCCTTGCTCTCCATGAACTCTCCACATGACAGCTCTTCAGCAGTAGCACAGTGTGCCCCATCCTTTCCACTAATATTTTCATGTTTGTGCCCAGAGCTGCAGCTCAGCAACTGGGGAAAAAACCCCTACCCCCCAGCTCTTGTGAAGCAATTGACCACACACAAAAAAAGCTCCCTCTATTTGCAAATCATCATAAATAATGGACATAAAGTAGGAGAGGAGGTAAAATTGAACACAATTGAACCATTTCTTCCATTTTCTCAATAGAATCCTATTGAGGTCCTATGGAAATCTTCCACCTCCACAAAGCCCAAACCACTGAGACTGCTAGAAACATAGCATCATCCAATCCTCATTTTCCTTAGCTATAAAATAATCGGTGGGGGTTTTACCCTTCAATGTTTCCAGTGGAAGCCTCAACAAAACCAACCCAACTGGACTTGATTGCCCTTTTCAAAAGAGCAACTTGTAATTGATCAGAACATACCCCACACTCTGGCAATGGGCCAGTTCTAGAATGTATCCTATGCTGCTAATCTTATTTCTCCACGCCTCCCTTCTTTGTTGAATTTATGGTAATGTTCAAGGCCGAGCACCTGCAATTGTAGAACCCTTCAAGTTCTTCAGTTCTCATGAAATCCAAGGGAAAAAGGACCCAACTTATAGCCTTAGTGAATTGACAACATCATTAGATGTCAAAACTATATTTTTAACAGTTATTTCTGGTATAACACATTTAAACCCAGCAATACATCTAAATCTCTAGCATTTAAGAATTTAAGATTTTTGTTAGAGATTTCTCTCTCTCTCTCTCTCTCTCTCTCTCTCTCTCTCTCTCTCTCTCTCTCTCTCTCTCTCTGTTGCTGAGTTATACTGTCAGATAAATATCAGCATTTACAATTGTAGGACCAGATAGAACCTCTAGTGCATTTTCCTTCAGTTCACAAAACAGTTCAGTATACCCACAGAGACCCAGAGAATTCATCACATTATGTTCCCAAAAAGAAAACAATAATGAACTTGTTTAGGAATTAAAAGTTTGAAACAAGTGGCTCCATATGTTCATCATTTCCTTGGCCTTTTGTTTTGCCAAACACAAAAGAAACAAAGGGAGAGAGAGAAAGGAAAGATGTGATAGAGAGAAAGGAAGGAAGAACCAGAAAGAGAAGAGAAAAAGAGGGAACAAAATCAAAACACTTTCTCAAAAATCCTCTACAAATCCAAAATTTAAAAGCCCTTCCTTTTTTATCTTAAATAAATGGAATATCAATTGATTCCAGATGTCTGGGCTACAATGAAAATGCCCAGCAAAATTTGAGGGCAATAGTCATAAGAAAATACTCACTGTAGGTGTAACCATTTTTGTTTGTTCCAGATCTTTTACAGCAGGTCAGGGTGGGTATTATGAGGCTGATGTGAATGGAAAACTGAGGACTTAAAAACATGTGCTGCTTTGTGGGTGGGGTTTATGAAAGCATCTAGTTACATTTGGACACCCATGCAGGTATGCTGTGAGTCTGGGTAAACTGCCTTTTGTCCATTCAAACAATGAACAAATTGCACAGCTGGGATTTGAGTCAATCTCTTCCCTTCAATCAAGCCACCGATTTCCATTGTAAGTACGCAGATAGCAGCTCCCCCAAACAGTGACCCAAGCTCCAGTCCTCTCCCTGCCCCTCTTCCCTCTGACTCAAACACTTGGAAAATACCTTGAGCCTCAGAGTACAATCAATCAGCGTGTGAGTTCTGCCTCTAGGCAGGACACCTTTCCTCCCTGAATTACATTTGAAAGACCACTCACCTCCCTCAAAACCACTTCCTGCTCAGAGTGCAGGAAAAAGTAACAACTCATTGCTAGCTCTGCTTCTGAAAAGCCCGGCAGACACAGCATGGAAAGTTTATTTGGAGACAGTTTTCCAAACTTGTAATTAAGGCAGACATAACACTCCATTGCCTCTTTATGATCATCTGAGTCCGTAGACACATCCCTCAGCCGTCAGACCACACAGTAAATACGTATAGTGCCTTGAATTCTTTTAAAAGCAAGGTGGCCAGCCTGCATTTTGGCATCTCGAGGGCAGCAGAACCTCAGGTGCCTGACAAGGATGGACCCTTACCTCCTGAGCCACTTACTCAGAAAAGTCCTGGTGGTGGAGTATTTAAAAGCAGCAAATGAATGTTGTACTAAGGGGCAGGGACATTTTATGAATTGAGACCTCAGGCAATTTCATCAGGGAACCAGTGACAGCGGCTTAAAAGTGCTTGCAAATTGGAAAAACACAAGTTCTTGAAGGATATAATTTTGCTGAGAATGGAAACTTGAACTGGGGCCAGAGAATGGGAAACGAGAAGTCAGTCGGTGCGTTGACAGTGGCAGCCGAATTCACCTAAAGAGACTTCGCAGCACCGACTGTGAAATCAGAGTTTTACAACACAAAGCCCTGAGTCCAAACTTTGCCTGTGAAAGTCCTCTTTAAACCAGAAAACTTGGACAAGCAGTTGCTAGAAATTTTCCGCTTTCCATATACAGCATGCATTTGTTTAAATTATACAAACATGCAAGGTCAGCAAGAGTTGTCAAGTTCTTTTTCGGAAGAGCAAATTAAACTTCACTCTAACTTTGACTCCCTGGGCAGAAGTGCAGGGAGTTCCGGGACCTTAGCTCCAAAGATCATATTTAAAAGCTTTAATACCATTTAAAATGTAACTCTTTGTATGTGGCATGCCTTGTAATAAAATTCTACCAAGTTACACACACACACACACACTTACATATACATACACACACACTCCCACACACATGAGAACAGCGTCTTAAAATTAAACATCTGCACCTGCAAAAAAATTTTTTTTTCCAAAGTCCATATCCACACGCTATAGCCCTTAACCATAGACAGGATTTAAAGGAATCTTCTGCACTGATACCACTGAAGCTCTGCAGAAGTGGAGGATTTAGCATAAGTACCTTGCAATAGTTTCTACTCATACATATTTCTGTGCAAAGGCATCCATCTCCCGGAGCTATTTTTTCAGATCCTACAGAATTGCATATTCAGCAATTTATAAATATCTCCCAGTTCCGAAACAATGAAAATTCTAAAGTGAATAACATTCCCAGGCAGAAGCAAACAGTACCCAATTTAAAGAAAATTCCCCAATGACTTCAAAGAGTAAGAAATATTTACCTTCAAGAAATCACAAAAGCAGCACTTAAATAATTGGGTTGGAAGACTGCTGATTTTTTCCATTGCTTCTGAAGTGCAAAGTCTGGAAATGAATTGGTTAGCAGGAATAATGAGGCAAAAAGAAATCCAGAGAGATGGGAGATGTTGAGAGCAATGTCACATTTCAATTTTGAGGACTTTATTCCATTGCGCAGGCTCTATCTGCTCTGAATTTAGCAGTGACAGTGAGATTTAGCAAACAGAAGAGGGATTTAGAGAAAATCCTCACATTTATCTACAAAACACAGACACTGTAGACAGGAAACAGCTGGGGGAACATTTGCCTTCTCTCTCTCTCCCTCTTCTGGCAAAGTTACCGAGTAAGGACTTTTTTGGGCACGGTGACAAATAACATCATACCTTTGCATTTGAAAACTAGAGCACAGAAGCATTTTTTTCCCTTAAAAGAATGTGTGTTAGTGACAGGGTGAGTAGATATTAAAAATACTGATGCTGCCATAGAAAAGGAAGATCAGCTTTCTGATTAACTTTCTCCTGGGCATGAAGACACACACACACACATCTGTTAACACACCTTATCGGCATTAAAGGAAGATGCGTGGGGGATGGGCGAGCAATTTTAAATTCTAGAACACACGCAACATTTTTTTAAAAAAAGAAGTGAAGACCACCCCAAGCAAAACCTCCAGTTTTAACCCTGAAGTGACTGGAGTAGACTAGATTGGAAAACAGTGCCGGGGTGACCCCTTGTCCTGCCTGCCAAGCGAGGGGAATGATCTCATTTCCTAGAACCTGGAAGAGGGGCAGGCAGCCTTGCAATTGGCTCCCTTCAGGACGACACTGTTTTCGTGCTTTTTGCCCGCGACAGGGCAAAGATTTTGCTGAGCTGTAAAGCCAACTGAAAAAATAAAATCTTTTTCTTCCTTCCTCTAGTAGGCTGTCTATCACCCCCCAGGGAAAGGGCACCTGAGAGGCCAACTATTTTCCCATTGTCGTATTTTTCTGCAGAACTCAAAACTCAGTGTGTGTGTGTGTGTGTGTGTGTGTGTGTGTGTGTGTGTTTTCTTTGTCCAATGTTTGTGTATTCTAAATAACACCAGCTGGCTAGCAATACCCTCTCAAGGGTTATGATGTCATTCAAATCCCTCAACTGGACGAGTGGCCGGCAACATGGTCCAAGCCAGCTGTTTTGCTATTTATATGTACACTTGCCTTTGCCATTGAGAATCAGGTTCTGATCTCTTGTTGATACAGTGCATGGCAATTTCTCTTTGGTTTTTTGACGTAGTAGATAAGAAAGCGAACTATAGACTTCCCCTGGATACCTATCCAGGCATGGTTTCCTAGGGAAGGTGGGAATAACCTGGATCGTGCATTTCTCTCTCATGATTCTCAGAAAACAAGATGATACTGATGCATCAAGTGAACACAGAAGGTGCTGGAAACCCTAGTCTGAATCTTTTTGTTGTTCTGTGGGTAGAAAGCTGTTTGCAAGCATGAGTGCCCTCAAAGGAAAACCTGGGTGGTTTTGGAAGGGGGTTTGGTTTGGTCAAGTCCTCTGTGTGGTTAATAATTTGAGGCAAGGTTTATCTTCCAGAAAGAAAAGTTAGACATTCTGTGCACTTAACATCACTTTGGTGGTGCACCAATTCAGCATCATTTATTGAGTGCCTACTATGCGCCCAACTACGAACATCATGGTCAAAGCCCCGCAGGGCTTTCGGCTTAGTGGCGGAGACAGAGAGGAAATATTACTGTCCTGTGATGGGTATCTGCTCTTTTACAAATACAAACAGCACACACTGTGGGGGAGTAACACGTTCTCTGGAAAGACAGGGAAGCGAAAACCTTTTGAAAATCCAGACTGGGGAGAAGGGATGCATCATGAGAGCCTCCGGCTACAACAGTGGGATGTGTCAGCGGATACAAACACGCATTGTCGAGAGATGGCCAGGCAGGCATCTGCAGATGGGTGGCCGATTCCTGCACTTAAAGAGTAATGCAACACTTCCTTAGATGAGGTCCCCTTCATACATTTCATTTATTACTTGATTTACCAATAATCTCTTTTTTCCCCCTGCAGCTTTTGCAGACCACCCCCTTTGTGAAAAACGAAGTCCATCCTCCTCTTGTAGACTTTGATGATGGAGATTATATAACCAAAGAGCAGCACCTGTCTCCCAGGCAGAAAGAACTGCCATTTCCACGTGCACGGCCTCAGGTACCAATTGGATGGAGTTTTGTCCCTGAGCGCCTTGCTCCATTCCCAGGTACCTTCACAGGTGAAGGCCAGGACTTTCCCATTGCAGTTTTAGCATAGTTTAATTGTTCCAAGTGTCCTAGAAGCTTCTTGCATTTCTCCAAGGCTGGAGCCCAGTCTGGTTGTACTCTCTTGGCATGCCCTGGGCAACCATGTCATGGGAAGGTCTGCTTTGGGGGACGGAACACACACCACCCCATCGGAATCTGTGCTCCTATAATATAGACACACTGACTCACAGTCTCTTGGTTTTATAACCCCAATTACCCTTAAAGGATAATTGAGTTTTAATTTATGTCCCAGTTTTTATGTCACAATCAAAGAAAACTGAAATTTCAGTGAGTCGTAATTATCATCAGCTGTGCTGTGGAAACACTCCAATGTGAGCTCTCGGTTTCCAATAGGAAAAGCAATTTCCTGGAGTGATTATTGTATATTTCAATGTGGGGAATGGTCTCTATTTCTGTGTAGGGTGAGCCAGCCCCAGAACAGGGCAATAATTTCCTAGAGAAATAGCCATTTTCTTTGCTAATTCCAGAATCAACATGAAAGGGAAAGGGCAATAAATGTGCCACAGGACTTGCTTGTAAAGACTAAGTGTTGTACCTGTTTAGGAGAAGAAGAAATGAGTGCACCTATTACCAGAGAGTCTGAGGTGGTAGTGAATCTAATCCCCAGGAAGTTCACCTCCTGAAGTCCCTCTGGAGAGAAACCTATGTATGAGGTCATTCTAAAATGACTTGGAGGATTGTGTCATCTCCTGTCTGGAACAATCTGACAGTTAGATATGGGCATCGTGTACCATCAAAACAGCTAATTGCTAGAGCGTGCTCATCATGAGAACACCCACTCCTGGAACCACAGATTCCCGGTTTCACCTTTTGCATATACATTGCTGATGGGACATAAGTGACTCTACCCTAAAGCCTACTTCTTGAATAGCACATTTGCATAGAGCTGCAGCCTCAGAAGACTTCCAACGCCTTAAAAAGAAGACAGAGGGACAGTTGTTCATCTCCTTAACGTGTAGGCTGACAGAGATTCACAGAAAGGGGTGGGCAAGGCCCAGTCCCCACTCTTTCTGTTCCAGCCGCGTTCCCCATCCTCCCAGTGCCGACTGCAGGGGAGCTGGCCCCAAAGCTAATTTCATATCCATGTGCACTAGAGCATATTTACAATGTACTTTATTCATGCTTTTGCTGACCCCCAAGAAAAGCTCCAAATGGATAGTTGGAGGTAGGAGGACTTCAGAATCAAATAAAGGGTGAGGTCTAAGGCTCTAGGGCCACCCACCAGGCGAAGAACTTGGGGAAAGTATTGGACGTGTGTCTTGGATCACGGTTTGTGGGGAGGGTTGGTCTGGGAGTGTATTCTCCAAGGTTTGAGATCAAGAGCTTGTCGACTCAGAATGTAAAAGTCAGGGGGAAAGACCGGGCCTCAGAAATACAACATTCTGCTGAACAAGGGGACTGATGTCGGCTCCAAAAGGTCTGCTCAGAAGGAGCTCTGTTATTCCTCAGAAAGATCCTGTGTAGCTCAAAGGAGCTGCTTTAAATCCTTAGAGGAGCATTTTCCCCACAGCTAGGGAAAACAGTAATAGGGAGTAGAAATCCTCTCGCTAAAGAAATCAATGCTTTCTTTTCAACATCAAACTTGGATCTTATTTCTTCTAAAATGTCAAAAGGGCAAATGCTGAAAGCAGTCAGAAGCAAAACTGCTGTGGTTTTGGGAGCAAAAGAATTCTTCGGAATGGCAGGCGAGGAGTCGCTGCATGGGGCGAGGATGGCTTCGTGGACTGAGACAACCAGAGGGCTCGACCACAAGTGCCCCAAGTCGAATACAAAGTGGGGAAACGAGACACCAGCTCCAAACTTCGGGGACAGTACCCACAAACTGCTTTCTTTTGGAATCAAAAAAATGTGCGCGCCCTCTAGTGGGCTGTGGGGAAACTGCCACCGCAAGCTTAACCGTTGTTTGGCGTTTGGGAGGAGTGGGCATTTTGAAAAGCTCTGGGTTCTAATATACTTTCAGCTTCACTGATCTTTAGCTTTATGAATCCTTTTAAAATAAATACGCTGTATAGTTAATAACTGTGGTTTTAAAAAGGTGTAAAGTGCTAAGGGGAGAAAGAAAGGTAGACTGCCTGAGGGCAGAGATGTCTTCATGGCTGCGTTCCCTACGCTTAACTCCCAGTATGGACTCAACACATTGGGTTGATTGAGTGAAAGTCTGGAAAATTAATGATTTTAAAGGGAAAATATTTAACATAAAAAGAAACTCTCTGAGAATTAAATGACCAACTACTTCATTCTATAAATAAAAGTGAGGAGGTGGGCAGCAAGAGTAGATAGGGACGTCTTTAAAAAGGGACTTTAAAAAAATTTACTGTATTTTTTCCATTACCATTTATATGGCATACTTCCCCTTATATCCTCCCCCAATTACCACGCTGTTGTCCATGTCCATGAGTCCTTTCTCCTTATTGCTCAACCCCGCCTCCCCTCACACTGTCCCCTACCAAGGGCCATCAACCTGCTCTCTGAGTCTGTCTCTGTTTTGCTTGTTACTTCAGTTTGTTCATTAGATTCCACATGTGAGTGAAACCAGAGAAAAGGGGCTTTTAAAAAAAATTATTTATTTATTTTTAGAGAGGGAAGGGAGGGAGGGGGAAAGAGAGAGAGAGGGAGAGAGAGAGAGAGAAACATCAATGTGCAGTTGCTGGGGGCCATGGCCTGCAACCCAGGCATGTGCCCTGACTGGGAATCGAACCTGCGACACTTTGGTTGGCAGCCCGAGCTCAATCCACTGAGCTACGCCAGCCAGGGCAGAAAAGGGGCTTTTAATAAAATAAACGTATGTGGTTACGAGTGGATCCTGAATCCAGTCTCCCTGTATGTTCAGCGTACTTCCTACTACATCGGTGTTCAAACTGTGCACCAAAACTCTGAGAGCCCGAGATATGGCATCTAAAAATCACTTAAGTGTGGAAGTGGTTCTATTTTCAATTATCTTTTTATCCTGAATTCACCAAGAAGAAAGTCTCAGTTTGGGACTAGCCAGTGTTAAGTGACTA